CGCAAATATCTTTGCGAGAGAACGCAAAAGTTTTGCGAGAGAACGCAAAAGTTTTGCGAGGGAACGCAAAGTTTCTCGAGGGAACGCAAAAGTTTTGCGAGAGAACGCAAAAAAAAATTTCCTCCCACCCCTAATTTTCCACCATGTCCCTTTAGGGGCTCCGTAGGAATCACATCTGTAGCAGATTTTATTAATTTTTTCATTATAAATCAGTGATTTTTTTTTGTTGAAGACTCCAAATATAGCTCATTCCAAAGATTAGCACCCAGACAGTCACTGTATTATGTCAGGAGTTTTCAAACCTGTCCTTGAGGACCCCCCAGCCCTGCACATCTTGTTTGTCTCCATTATCAGACACCCAGTTCAAGTCTTGCAGTCTCTACTAACAAGCTGATGATCTGAATCAGGTGTGTTAAAAAAGGAGATATGCAATGCAGGGGGTCCTCTCATCACTCATAGTACTAATAGTAGGTAAATAGAAAAAAAAGATACATGTAACCCAAAGCCATTATTTTTTTGATACAATGTTAGTTAGCTTTAGTTCAGTAAAAACGTAAGACATTAGTTTGCAAACATAGCGTTTATAATATCACACTTTGTAATAGGTATTTATTAATGAAACAAACAGATTTTATGAAGAAACTGTAAAATGTTGTTTTCTGTCTGCATTTAAGAGGCTTTGCCCAATTCTACAGTAATTTTGAGCTGGACTATGAGACTGTTTCCATCAATGACAACTTCAGGAATTAGTAATTTGCTGACTGACAGAGAACTCACTGCATTCAACAAAAGCATTTTTAACATGAAAAATAATCTCTCCTATAACAAGTGCAGAGGCAACAATAAGGGGCGGTTTCCCGGACTGGGCTTAAATTAATTCAATTCAATTCAAGTTTATTTGTATAGCGCTTTTCACGATACGAATCGTTGCAAAGCAACTTTACAGAAAGTTAAGTTTCTACAATATTTAGTAGTAGCTTGTCAGTGGTTATTTAATTTTTATTTATTTTCCTGGAAATTAATCCAAGAGCAGGTATTAATCTAGAATAATTAATCATGGTTTAAAAACGGCTTACTGAAACACATTTTAAAGGTGCTGTATGTAAGTTTTTGACTCTACTAAAGTATAAAAATACCATAATATGTTTGCAGATATTTAAGAAACATGCTAAATTAACATACTTGTTTATCTGAAAAACAATGCTAGTCATTCTCCTTTGAAAATGTGCGTTGGGGGCCGGAATGTCGGTCTCTGTTTTGGTTTGTGAAACCCGCCCACTGCCAGTTTACCCAATTGTATTTCGGCACCCCGGGTTGCCAGTTGGCGGAAAACACAGCGTATTTCATTTCATTCATCGTCAAGTGCGCTTGTTCCGGTTGGTGTCGTCAATCTGGCAACCTGCGTGTGCTCAAGTCTGAGGAGGAGGGGCCGGGTGAAAAAAACCCTTTCCCATATTTTGAATTTGGACTGCAATACCTAGTTCAACCACTCGGTGTCAATCCTACATACAGCACCTTTAAATACAGATTATTAACACCTGGATTATGGAGTCCTGAACTAAAATAAACTAGATAAATTTAAAACCAACTGTGCTGATCTGAATTAGCATGACAGAGGTTGCCTATAAACGTGGAATGAATCAAGAAAAGCTTAAAATTGTATGGAACTGAGAACCAAATCCAAGGAAAACAATGGCAGCAGAAAAAGTCTGCAATCAAAAAAAAAAACAAAAAGACAGCTAAAGCATTGAAAATTTCCATTTCCATTGTATTAATTAATGAGTTCCAATCAACATGAAATGTTACAAATCTAGTACATCAGAGTAGTACATTTGGTAAACTTGGAAAAAGAAAGTTGAAGAACCAAATACACAAAATAATGTTCTTTTTAGCAGCATCATATGACCCCTTTAATATTTAAATAAAGAAACAGACCTTTTATACAAAAGATTTCTTTATTATGTACAGAATGAGTACGCATTTCAAAACTTGACATCAACATTTCAACTATATGACATACTTCCATTCATAATTATTGTCTGTTTTCTATTGTTTTACACTTTAATGTATTTAAAAAGAGCTCAGGGCTTTGGTCTGTTCGTGGGTTTGCACCGCCAACTCGATGAATCCAGCTCTGTTTGACTCATACTGGGCATAGATCTAAAAATAAGGGGAAAAAGAAAGGCAGAAAATGCATCAGATATGCACATATGTATCTTAAAATAAATAAATAAATAAAGCAAGAAATGAGCAACTACATGTATTTTCTTCTGGGATTTGTAGTATTCTGTACGTAATATTCTTGGTCTATATTTGGCGTGACTTTTTAAAAAGTTTTTTTTATTATTATTATTTTTGGAATTTTTTTTTTTTATATAAGCCAGCAGAAAAGCCTTATATTTTCTGTTTTCATTTTAGTTTTAGACAAAATGTTTAGTAATTTGTTGTTTTCATTTTCTTTTAAATTTCTCTCTTTTTTCTTTGCTTTCTTTTTTTAATGTGTCTGTACATTTTAATTTTACTTATTTTAAGACATCAATGAAAATGATCAATTTTGCATTGACAACTTTTTATATTTTATTTTATTTCAAGTAATTTTTAAGCTTTTTCAAGTAAATTTGTATGGTTTTAATTTTAGTTAACAATAACCCTGGTAGTAAGTCCTGTCAGTTCACACAGAATCTTTACATTTGCATTATCTTTACATTGCTCTTTTTGGTTAATGTGATGTCAACATGGCACCAAATCCACTCTATGTAGAATAAAACAGCTTTTACAGCTTTCAGAGTCTTTGTCTCATGTGAGTCTAAATCATTTTAATGATATTTATCAAAATTGATGTTTATTTCTGTGTAAAATTTTAAGCAAAAAAATACTGAATGCACCTCTGAAGTTGGGCCGGCTACATCAACCAGCTTGACTTCCTGATACAGGGGTTAAAGGGTCAGTGTGACATAAGACAGGGTTGAGAGGAGTGTGCACTAAGCAGGAACCGTGACTAAACCGTGGCCCCTCATCAAATCTACCATGCTTTCCCATTTCCTTTCAAAGAATTTAATATACTCACTCTCTCTTACACACACATTAAAACCTGTCACTCCACCATCTCTACCAAATTACTGGTGGTATCTCAAAATTCGACAAGATTTTTTTTTTTTTTGCCCTTCTTTACTCCATGCACTCTGAATGACGTCCTTCCATGGGTTAAAGGTCTAACCACAAGCTAATGGGAAGTGATGTACCCTGGGCCTGACCCCTTATTCCCTATTTCCAGAGTTGTCAAAAGCACATATCATTATTGTAAGAGTGTTTTTTTTCCCCAACAGTGACTGAACAGCTCCAGAGTTTCGCTGACCGGCTCTTCTGATCTCTTCAAGAGCTAAATGGCTAAACACTTGAGTAAATATCTCTAGTATATTTTTGGATAAACTTGCGCTCTAATTAAAAATGCAGTTTTAGAATCTGAGGTGATTTATTTTAAGGACCAATTCTTACTATTAATTAGCATGCATATTACTTATGGAATGCCAAAGCTGACTTAATTAAAAATAAATAAATGTACAAAGAAATGTATGAAAGCAAATATAAATAAATAAATATATAAATAAATATACAAAGTAAAAAAGCAAAAATAAATAATTTATAATTTTATTTCCTTATTTATGTATTTTTAAAAAAATGTCC